TATTCTAAAATATTTTAAATGGACTTTATATGTGGACAAAGTTTATCTGTACTTATTGGTAAGCAAGTACAAAATGATCTCTTCAAGTGCTACTTTTTGGGATGGGTGATAACAGCATCATTCAAAATGACAAAAAGAAAATGAAGTCCATTATCAGATTCCACAGAAGAGAGTAAAGGAAGCTTCAACAAAAGATGGTGTTGTATACATAATAACTTTATGTAACTGTTGTATTTTATATACTTTCTTAGAAGGCTGTAGTTTTCTCTTGTGAGTGTGGGGTCAATGTTGTTGAAATTTTTTTGGTTACTGTGATGCTTGTGCAATACCTATATTATTTTGTTTCCATTGTAGAATTTTATTACATGTGAGAGGAACAGGTCTGGTAGGAAGTAGTGATTAGTGATACAGATGAAAGGCTTGCAGTACTATTTTCAATATTTTTCTTTTTCTTTTTTTAAATACAAGTTGATTCAACATTTCAGGTGATGTGGGCTGTGTGTGTTTTTAAAGTGCACTTTTTACCCACATTCATTCCTACTTTTCTGTGACTACCTTTGTTTCTGAACTGCCAGTAAGCACCTAGACATACTATGTTTAACTTTGAACTGGTTAAAGATTGATTGATATCAGGTCCTGGCTTTATTTACAAAAGATAAACATCAGGGTATTATCAGTTCCCTGGGTACATAGGTAGGGGATCTTAATTTTTTTTTTTATTCAGGTCTCCCAATTTTATAAATGATTGGGTTTGAAAACTGAAAGCAAGATTCTAGTCTTCCGCATTGTGTGGTCTTGCTCTCTTCTCACAAATCCAAGTTCTCCAAGTCAGGAACCTGCAGTTGCAGCTTGTGGCCGTAATAGTCTCTATAAGGTGACAGAAAGTAGAAAGAATATTCAGTAGAAATTCTGATCAGAAATTAGTAAGAAAAAAACAAAGTTGTGTGGGAGGAAAGAAAGAAAACAATGTCTATATTAGTCTAGTGTTTTCAGGAAAAAAATCCACACAAATCCAAGTAGATCTTCATTAACGTGGAAAGACTGTGAGCTAGAAGGGCCTTGGACCTGCTGGGATTTGCAGATAAGCGTCCTGGAAGAGGATTCCCCACTAGGAACAGTCTCATCCTAACAAAACAATTTTACAAAGTGCAGCATTTTCTGCCTCTAACCTTGTGTGGACCAGGGATTTCCTGTGTGGTCCCAGGATCCAGTGAATTACCAAAGTTGCAGGGTGTCACTTGTTCAGTTCCAGCACAGCAGGAACTAGGCTAGGTTTTGTTTAGCACTCATGCCAAACTTCTGTGTTGCACAGAAGTCAACACAGAGGGCTCACGTGTCATTTGCAGAAGAGCCATTCCCATTTTGGATTCTCATTTTGATGGCTTTGAAAAGAGACCAAGCTGAAATGGCTTTGTATTTTCCCTAGTATTTTTGCATTTCTTCTTCAATACTTATTTCCATGTGAACTACCACACACAAACCAATAACATTGTAGAGAACTGTCATGGTTGGAGAAGACCCCTAAGATCACCAAGTCCAACCATCTGCTCAGGAGAAAGAAAAAACCTCACAAAACAGCAAAACAACAAAAAAACCCAAAACACAACGACACTCCCCTCAAAACCAACAACACCACACAACCCCCAAAAAGCCCACCATGCCCTGTAGAGCATTCCCTCAAGCTCCACATCTACATGTTTCTTGATTGCCTCCAGGGGTAGTGACTCCACCTCCTCCCTGGGCAGCCTGTTCCAATGCCTTCTACTGTTTCAGTAAATAAATTATTCCTAATATCAAGTCTGAACCTCCCCTGGTGCAACTTCACGCCATTTCCTCTAGTCTTTTATCATTATTCACTTTTGATAAGAGGTCAACACTCACCTCACTACAACCTCCTTTCAGGTAGTTGTAGAGAGTAATTACCAGTAGTGCCGAGGCTAATTCTGCTCTAAGTAGAGCTGCGGTCATAAACTTTCTGTTGATTGCTGTCTCTGTGCTAGAAGATATTTCAGCAGCTATTTTTCACCCTAGTCATTATTTGGGTTCAGTCACTATAATAGCCTGTGCACTGTGCCTTTGTGAAGTGCTGCAGTAGTCCGGTTTTCTATCCTAATGAATAAGCATTGTCATACAAAAATCATCCCTGAGGAGTTCTTTTGCATAAGGAATAAGTGCAGCTGAACAGACATGGAACACAGAAGGCCATTAATTCAGAGATCCTTTTAGAGCTCAGGTGGGGTACATGGCAATTTTTCACTATTTGTTATATATCCTAAGGTGTAACAACAAAAAAGCCCTCTGTGTACTAGCCTAATGTGGTGAATGTTCATTGATTATGTACCATAGTGATACCTGTCTTTTACATGTGAGTGCTATTAAACTAGTGGAAAAATAAGTTGAATTTAAAAAAGCAATGAGAGCATCTGTTCATAGATTTTTTTGCATTGGAATATATGGCTACAGTGCTCAGCTCCCTGCTAGGGACCATGCACAAACAGCTTTTAAAGTAATAGCATTTTGTCTCACTTTTTTTTTCTCCCTTCCTTTCTCAGCAGTGGTTCTTCATCAGTACTTTAGCTATTTAACTGCTTAATTGAATCATGCTTTGATTTAAGATCCCTGTATGTTGCTCTACGTTTTTTTTGATTGTATAATGTATAAAGTAAGTCTGAAAATATAAATTGGGCACTGGGTTACAAAGGTATATAGCAAAATCCAGTCTGTTTCTTTGTTGCATCCTAGGAGGCTTTTCCATGGGAGGTGGAATGGCAATGCATTTAGCGTATAGATTTCATCAGGATCTGGCAGGAGTCTTTGCTTTGTCTAGTTTTCTCAATAAAGACTCTGCTGTTTACAAGGTGAGTGTGTGGCAGAAAAAATGCTTAGCTAGAAGAGAAACATTATAATTCAATGTAGCATGTTTATTTATCTGAGGCAATTGATTAATTTTCTAAACTTATGACTTTTCCTGGAAATAAATAAGCAAAGAATTAGAGAAGTGAAGCTTTAAAGCTGTCGTTACATGATGATTTGATGCTGTTTTGCACAGACAGCACAATTATTTTATTTAAAGTAAGTCAATGTAGAAGGCAGATTAACAAATGAAATGCATTGCAAGTTGTCTATACCTGTTAAGAGTCCATGTAAGTGTAAATAGTCTTTGAAAATTTGTGGTGAATTACAATACTCATGGGCTCCATCTGCTGTCATGAATTTTTTTCTATTTCTCTTGGAGAGGGATGTAGACCTTAACGCAAAGCGTATTGTTTGTCAAGATTTAGCACACTGGAATTTGAAGAGCAATTTTTTTCCCAATTATATTTCCTTGCTGGCTTTTGCAGCGCTAGTACAATATGACCATTAAAAGGGAGGTTGATAAATTAAATGCTGTGTAAATTGTCACCATGTAATTGTAAGAATTCTTCTGAAATTTTTAGTGATGTGTCTGACAGTGTTGTTTCCTCATCTAGGCTTTGAAAGGAAATGAATGTGTTCTTCCAGAATTATTTCAGTGTCATGGAACCGCTGATGAACTAGTTCTCTACTCATGGGGTGAAGAGACCAACACAATGTTAAAGTCGCTGGGAGTATCAACATCGCTCCATACTTTTCCAAACCTTCATCATGAGTTAAACAGAACAGAAATAGAAAAACTAAAAACCTGGATTGTTAAGAAATTGCCTGTTGAAGCAGCAGAAAGAACTAAATAAAAGAAGGTGTGCCTTTCATAAACTGCCTGATTGTTCTGTTTTTAAGATCGTACAGGGCATGTATATGGGTATCCCATCTACGCTACATAAGCACAGCTTCAGGTAGACACATTCCAAAAAGTTCAATTCAGTGGTGAAATGACGGTGTAATTCGTGTTATGGGTCTCTCTTTCTCTTTCTTGTCCAGTTTTTAAATCCACGTCCACATCAGTCTGTGGAAAATAATGACTGATAATATTAAAGCAATTTCTAAATAATCAAAACAGTGTTCAGAAAACATTGCTCTGAATTTCCCAGATACCTTTTTTTAAAAAAAATTTCCTCTGGTTTGTGTTCTAAGACAGAAAAAATTACAGTGGTATGGTTGTTTTTTCTAATGGCATTACAGGCCAATTATAAAAATAATGGGGTTTTACCTATAGAAATACATGCATATGTTCAAGTTGGTTCACTGAGAGGAACCGTATTGGCTTCAGTTGGATTTTCAGTATGTGGGATTGAACCTTCATCAAAGCAGACTTGTATGTCACATCAGAAAAAGGTTTGGTTTATATTTTTAGAAGTTGTAAGTAGCTGTGTCTAGCTATACACAGGCTCTCATTTGTTTTTTACTCAGATCTAACTATATAGTGTAGGTTTAAAAAAAAAAAAAAAAGTGCCCTCAGGATTGTTAAGTTCTGTCCAGTTTCAGAAGAAATAATTCTTTCAGCAGCGTTCCTGTAGAAATTCATTTTTGCCAACAGTTTTCTTTTGGCCTGCAAGATCACATTGTAAATTAAAAGATGAGGATACTTGACTCCTCTGTGAATATTTAGGAGTTGTAAATAATGTTTGTGATATAAAGAAAATTAATATCCCATTATTTTCATGGTGGATGATTCATCTCTGTGTCAGTTTGATAAATTAACTTAGAGTATAAATATCTATTCTCATGTAATTTTAATACTTCTTTTTTTCCCCCCTCCTCTGCCCCATTTTCTTCTCCCCAAATTCAATAGTTTTATTAGCGTGACAAAGTATTCAGGCTTTCGCCAAAGTCAATAGATCCTAGTCTCTTGCTTAATCTTCTCTTTCCCCGTTTTCTAAAGTGTGGATCTAGGACACTGTTGTTTGCTCTGTCACAGCAGATTGTTGCCAGTATTGGCTATGACTCCAGAAGTCCAGAAGTGCTGGCCAACTCCTGGGGACTGGGATTTTTGTTTGAATCCTTGTGCACCAAGACCCAAGCCAGCTTTTACCTATCTTGAAGAATAAGCAAAGGGGAAAAAATGTCACTGTTCAAGTACAAGGCATGTAATTGGCAGTAGCAAGTAACAACTTCCTGCTGCTAAAAATATTTTGCTTTATTTCATTTTGCTAGCATTAGCAAGTCAGCAGTCTGTTCTGAAAAACAGGATTTTAAATGGCACATGAAAACTCAGCTATTTGAAACAGTAACTGAAAAGTGTTTTTTCCTGGTGCCTTAGGCTTCCTAATTACTACAAATTAAATTGAAACAGGTGTGCTCAGAGGCAGCTGAGCTAACATTGCCTTGACCCAACTCTAATTACAATCCTTGACAAGTGAAGTTGTAGTATTTCAGCCATAATAAATCATTTTGAGTTTTGCACCATTTTCTGCTCTTCCTGCAGTTTCTATCAGGGGCTATTTGAACCAGTAACACGAGGTGGTAATTAGTTTTGGTGACATGCATTCAGATGGCAAAGTGATGGGCTCCTGGCAAGGGGACTTTTAACAAGGTCAGAGAACAGCACAAAACAGTTGAAATAAGATCATGGAGGAGTAGAAATTATTACCAATCCAAACCCAGATCTTTTGATTGTTTTTGCAGTCCCAATAATTGCAAATACAGTGGGTACAGAGTTGGGTTTTGTTGCCTTGATGTAGTCTAAGAAGCAATTACAGAGGTCTACATTTCATGACATTATTAAAAAACAGTTAAGTCCCCAGTTTGCATCTGTTTTCTTTCCTCTTCCTCATCTTGTAAGTGAAACGCTAGCTCATCAGGGGATGCATTGTGACATAAGACTGGAAACCAGTTAGGTATATGCTCTAAAGGGCTCCCAGATCTCAAGAGTTCTAAGGTCACTTTTGGGATGTTAGAGAACTCAATAGCATTTTCCTTCAGTCTGCAAGTGCCTACAGTGTGACTTGCCTAGTGCATTTGACGAGGGTGATGTGGCTCTGTGTCCCAGATGGTACCTAACTCAGGCTGGACAAATAGATTAAGTTTACGTCAGGAGAAGCTTGACTGCTGGAAGCTTTATCAGTTTTATCTAGATTTAGATTAATAGAATGGAAAAGAATGTGACTGTTTTCATTGATCCCTAATCTTTCGCTCCTGCTATCTTTAAGGGTGTTTACATACCGTATGAAGATGTTGAAGAGAGAGATGTTATGTGCTCTTAGGAAGAGCAAACTGGGGGCTCTGTAATTTTGGGTTGGTTTTTTTTTCTTGTACATAGGCTTTCTCTGGTTTGTTTCTTACAGATTGAAGGAGAAAAACATGTTTAAAGATATAGTCCTGTACATAATTTTGAGGCATTAATGGAAACATTTCAGTGCCAACATGAATCTGTATCACTTAGGCTGCTGAAGATACAATAACATAAACTAGAAAGAAAGAGAGTGCTGTGCTGACCCAGAGGAGGCAGGACCAATTAGTTGGCATGCAGTTTATCTTGCTACTATAATTCTTGCAAAGAGTTTTTCTTCTTTTTTTACAAACTTAGAAGATAGTTTGCCATTTAGGGGCAAACTTCTAATACCATTCAAAAATATAACTGAAATGAATGAGTAAATCCATTCAGATTGATGGTACTTTGTTGGAGTTTGGTATTGTTTTGGTGAAAAACATAATTCAATAAACAAAAAAAAATAGTTTAAATGAAACTTTAAATCTCTTGGGCTCACTTGGTGTGTTCTGTACTGCTTCAGAAACAAAGCACTAGTGATTGGCCTCTCTTTTCTTTCTAATCTTCTAACATTACACATCCAGATGTTTGAAAGTTGTGACTAGATCACTGCTGTGAACTTGGGTGGCTTCAGAATGATTAATATGCTAGTACAGACATATAGAGCAGGAGAACAAATGTGAATAAGGCTGAAATCAGCTGATCAACATGGGAAGCCAGAAGTCATTGGTAACCTATTTTTGACATTAAAGTAGGAAGTTTTATTTAAATTAATCTCTTTAAAAAATGAAAAATTAATGTCTTTAACATGGTTATTGATGACTTGGTTGAGAGGATAGAGAGCACCCTCAGTAAGTTTCCTGTTGACACTGAGTTGGGTGGGACTGTCGATCTGCTTGAGGTCAGGGAAGTTCTGCAGAGAGATCTGGACAGGTTTGACCAATGGGCCAAGGCCAATGGCATGAGTTTCAATGAGGCCAAATGTCCTGCACTTTGGCCACAACAACTGCCAGCAGTGCTACAGGCTTGGGGAGGAGTGGCAGGAGAGCTGCCCAGCAGAGAGGGAGCTGGGGGTTTTGATTGACATGCAGCTGAACATGAGCCAGCAGTGTGCCCAGGTGGCCAAGAAGGCCAAGAGCATCCTGGCCTGCATCAGGAGTAGTGTGACTTGCAGGATCAGGGGGGTGATCCTGCCCTTCTACTCAGTCTTGATGAGGCTGCACCTGGAGTACTGTGTGCAGTTTTGGGCATCACAGTTTAGGAAGGACTTTGAGGTGCTTGAGAAGATGCAGAGAAAAGCAATAAGGCTATTAGGGTTCTGGGGAACAGATCTTATGAGGAGAGGCTGAGGCTGATCAGCCTGGAGGAGAGGAGGCTGAGGGGGGATGTCCTTGCTCTCTGTAACTACTTGAGAGGAGGTTGTGGTGAGGTGGGTGTTGGCCTCTTCTCCCTAGTGACTAGTGATAAGACAAGAGGAAATGGGTTCAGATTGGATATTAGGAAAAAAATTCTTCACAAAAGGAGTCATGAGGCATTGGAACAGGCTGCCCAAAGAGGTGGTGGAGGCACTATCCCTAGAGATGTTAAAAAAACTGGTGGACATTGTGCTTCAGGTGATAGTTTAATGGTTTAAAGGGTGGACGGTTGGACTTGTTGATCTTGAAGATGTTTTTCAACCCTAATGATTCCATGATTCTCGTGTAAAATCTTTAGCTTTTTTCACTAAATCATCTTTAAAGCCATTTAACAATTCTCTACAACTGAAGTGAGCCAAGTGGGTGAATGTAAGCTGTATTTATGGAGATGGGATTCAGATGGCAAAACATAGAAATGGCAGCCTAGTGGATAATGCTAGAATGAAAGTTGTTAAGGCACAGATAGAGGAAAGAACAGGAATATACTTTCCAGTTGATGCACGTTCTAGGACAGCTAAGTTTGGAAGCTGGGAGATCTTAGAAGAACAAATTCCATGAGTTTTCCAACTTGAGTCAACCTTCATTTCTGATGCAGCTGATTAAAGGTGCTCTAGAGCAAAGAAATAACACAATTACCAGTTAATGTAGTTTCCTACCTTTGGTTGGTTGTTTTCTAGACCTCACTCTGTAGTGGGAACCTGATATCACTACTCAAAAACAGCAGCTGGCAATTTTCAGTATTAGATTGTCTCCTCAAATGTTTCTGTATATACCGCAGTGGGACTTAACAGCATCTCATTCATATCTTAGTTACTGATTAATCAGTAGCACTCACTCAGAATGTGGTAGACAAATGCTTTTCCTGTACAGAGCAGTGAGTGAGAATATTTGTCTTTACAAATGAGAGCCAGAAGGAAAGTGCAGTGGTTTCCCCACTCCCATTCAGTACTTCAGTGGCTAGTGTTAGCTAAAGATATAAGACACCTGAATTTAATTCCTCTGCCCATCTGAGCATGTTCACCTGTGTGCCAGGCCTTAAAATGTTACCTATATATACAATTTTTCTAACAGCTTTTAATATCAGCATTCACTAGATTAAGAAAGTGTTTCAGATTTTCCTTTGCTTAGATGGGTATTTACAAAAGGGTTATGTTTGTTCTCCATCTGTCTC